TTCTCTTCTTCTTCTTCTTCTTCTTCTTCTTCTTCTTCTTCTTCTTCTTCTTCTTCTTCTTCTTCTTCTTCTTCTTCTTGTTTTCTTCTTCTTCTTTCTCCTTCTTCTTCTTTCTTCTTTCTTCTTTCTTCTTCTTCTTCTTCTGGCAGAACTGGATTGAACTCAGGCCCTTGTGCTTGCCAGGCAAGTGCTTATTCTATTGAGCCATCTCCCCAGCCCCCTGAAGGTTCTTGTTAGATGGGTGCAGCAGAGCTCTTTGCTAAAGTGGGGTTCTTTTAGTGGCACAGGGGTGCTAAGAGAAGTATTGGAAGTTTGATTAAAGTTTGGCCCAGCACAAAGGAGCAGATAATGTTTAATTTGTTTTGCCTTCTTTTTTCAATTATTTGTCATTTTTCTCTTCTTAATTTCTTATATTTTCTTTCTTCTAATTTTGTATGTATATGTCTGGTAGTATGAATACTAGTTGGAAGCCAACACTATGCATTATAACAAATGCTGTGAAATTCATATTACTTTGTTAAGTGAAATTCTGTATTACTTGAAATTTTTCTGTTTTAATACTACTTTGTGGGGGCCACCTCCTCAGGGCCCACTTGCTGTCCCTCTCTCGGACAGGAGCTTTCTTTCACCCAATAGATATATTCTGTTCATAAAAAAGTACTATTTTGGGGGCTGGTGAGATGGCTCAGTGGTCTAAAGCACCTACTTAGAACAAGCTTAGCAAAGCACAGGGACTGCGGTTCAATCCCCCAGCACCACATGCCAGCCAGCCCCGCCCCCTGGTGGGCTGAGCTGGCCACACACACACACACACACACACACACAAATAAATAAAATTTTTTAAAAATACTATTTTGTACTCTTTTTTTGTGTTTTTTCCCATAATTTTATTGAGAAACAAATGCAATGAGATAGTTTCAAACCAAATTGGTAGGACAGTTTCAAAAATTAACACATTGCATACATTCTTCCTAGTGGTTAATTGCTGTACAAGATGCGGACATGATATCCTATTTACAAACACCATTAGAACAAATCCTTCTATTCATTAAGAGAATGTAACTATATATCTATCCTAACCACTTTGAATACACTGATACAAAATGGACATTCATCTGTATCCCTTTTTTTTGTTAAGTTCCGTTATTCGAATATTATAGGGGTGTAAACTCAGCGAAATATTATAAAGGAGTTCAGTAGTCCATGATAGTATTGGGTCTTCCACCTCACTGGCATGTACTCTCTTTAAAAATTAAAAAAAGGTGGAGGAGAGCCGGTGGGCTGGCATCATGAACAGAGTTAAAGAAAACTGCATTTCAAGGTCTGTAAAGGCCACCGCTCCCCTGGGTGACCGTCTGAAGTGTGCCTTGGCAACGCAGCCGTTTCCCTCTCAGCACCCATCAACCGGAAGCAGTGGCCAGACCCAGCGGGTCCTGTGTCCTTCCAATGCTCCCCAGTGGGTTCCTTCTCAAGCACAGATGCTTGTCGGTACTCAGAAGCAGTGCAGAGGCAGCTGCAGGTCACCAGCGGACCCCGTCCTGCCCCCTGCCGGTGAACAACTCTCAGAAGAGAGAGCAGCCCCAGCCGGTGGCTTCCGGAGATCATCCTAAGAAAGAAGTGGAATCAAAACTGAAAAATGAAGACTCAAAAAAGAGACAGTGGACTTTGGAAGATTTTGATATTGGTCGCCCACTAGGTAAAGGGAAGTTTGGCAATGTTTATTTGGCAAGAGAAAAACAAAGCAAGTTTATCCTTGCTCTGAAAGTGTTGTTTAAAGCTCAGCTGGAGAAAGCAGGGGTGGAACATCAGCTCAGGAGAGAAGTGGAAATACAGTCCCACCTTCGGCACCCCAACATCCTCAGGCTGTATGGCTATTTCCATGATGCCACAAGAGTTTATCTAATTCTGGAATATGCACCACTTGGAACGGTCTATCGGGAACTGCAGAAGCTCTCTAAGTTTGATGAGCAGAGAACCGCTATGTATATCACAGAATTGGCAAATGCCCTGTCTTACTGTCATTCCAAGAGAGTTATTCATAGAGATATTAAACCAGAGAACCTGCTGCTGGGATCAACTGGAGAGTTGAAGATTGCAGATTTTGGGTGGTCGGCACACGCTCCATCCTCCAGGAGGACCACTCTGTGTGGCACCCTGGACTACCTGCCGCCCGAGATGATCGAGGGCCGGATGCATGATGAGAAGGTGGACCTGTGGAGCCTGGGAGTCCTTTGCTATGAGTTTTTGGTCGGGAACCCTCCCTTTGAGGCGCACACTCACCAAGAGACCTACAAAAGGATATCACGGGTTGAATATACATTCCCTGACTTTGTGACAGAGGTAGCCCGGGACTTCATTTTGAGGCTGCTCAAGCATAATCCAAGCCAGAGGCCAACTCTTAGTGAAGTGCTTGAACACCCCTGGATCACAGCAAATTCCACCAAGCCATCACCTTGCCAGAAAAGCCAAGCAGCAGCCAGCAAGTTATCTTGGTCGTGCAAGGGGCAGGGTCCTTGGAGCAGGGCTGCTGTGGAACCTTTGGGGACGTGCTCCCAGAGCCACGTTACTGTTGACTCCTGCTCCGTGCACAGGCCACAGAGGTGTTAACTTCTCACACTGAGCCTGCAGCGCCCTGGCCCCTGTTCACAAAGCTCCCCTGCAGTAAACGTGACACTCTGTGAAGGGGCCTCAAGAATCATGCTGCTTTGACCAGGTCCATACACAGAGGCAGGACTCAGCGGCAGCCATATGCACAGCCCTTGCCGGGGTCCTTATGTGAGAATTCGGAGTCTGGTTGTCAGGAAAGTGACCGCTTTCCTCTGACTGAATCAGCGAGTGCGCTACACAGTAACTAAGAACTTGAGTGTGTGTGTAACTTATTGCGTGGTCAGACCTGGGAAAGGAGTTGGAATGAATATGAGTATTTTAAGTATTGAAGCTTTCTGTATGATGTCCTTTCTGTGCATCACGCTGCAATGCTCTCATCGTTCATTGACCCTGTTAAGCCTGACCGGGTTTCTGGTCGTCCTTAACCACTATGAAATAGAACACATGCTCTACCTCTGTCTCAGGAGCTGCATGGGATACACAAGCGGCCCGATGTCTCAGAACTTTTTATAAATGTTTAGGGCATTTTATCACATTGGAGTTATGGCATGTGTGTAAACCTGTTAAATGCATAAATAAATATACTGATCTACCTGGAGTAAAAAAAAAAAAAAATTGAAAAACAAAGCTTGACCGGGGCTGGAGAAATGGCTCAGTGGTCTAAAGCACCTACTTGGAACAAGCTTGGCAAAGCACAGGGACCGCGGTTCGATGCCCCAGCACCACATGCCAGCCATCTGAGACCCTGGTGGGCTGAGCTGCCCCCCCCCACACAAACAATAAATAAATGTTAAAAAAAAATTAAAAAAAAAGCTTGACCAATGAGAAAATATTTGCCAGCAGCCACAACATTTTATAGCTTAATAGAAGAGTAAATAGTCATAGAAAAATGAATTGAAAGGGGAACTAAGAGTTAATTTTGAGACTCCATCAAAAAACAGAAATAAAATATCAAATACCACCATATGAAAGAACAGGTGGAGCATGGCAGATGGGTGACCATACAGCTATTTTTTTTTAAAGGGGATGGTCCAAACTGGGAAAACTTTGAGAGTGAGAGGCATTCAAAAGAAGTAAAACTCCTCACACTTGAGATGTTGACTTTATTATTTATTAGATTTATTGTAATTTTGGAGGCCCAAAATTATTCCATTCAAAAAAATTTTAAAAATTTTAAAAATAACACATGGCATTTGCCTTGAAAAGGATGGGATTTAGGACCAAGTCACAGGGCCTTGGGCTCAGTAAGCAGAGCAAGGGAGGCAGCCTGAGAGGAGCGGGACAGAGGATGTGACAGCTCAGAAGCAGCCTTCCAGGGGGAGCAGGGAAGGGGCAGGGTGGGGACATGCAGCTGGGAAGGCAGCTGCTTGTTAAATAGGGGCCTGGCCACACAGTTCAGACCCTGTCCCCCAGATGACAGCCAGAGCACTAGCTGTGCTTCAGCTCTGCTACTGTGATACTGAGATGTAATTGCCAAATAATAAGATGAGCCGGGTTTCCCATATGTAATAAATCTTTTAAAGTGTAGCTTCTAAGCTTACTTCTCAGATATGCAGCTTTGGTGTCCAGTACTGACACATGTGGGTGATTCGGTCTTAAGTGCTTCTGAGCAGCACTGACATTACACCACCAGAGTGACTGTCATCTCAGGAGACACCAGTCTAGTGACACAGTGTGATTACTTGCCACTGGGCCTGGTCTATTCTGCAGCTTTCTCAGGAAAATGGTTTTTTCTTAGTCATCCCATGTGTAATGATAGCTATGAAATTTTCATCCTGAAAACTGATAGATTGGGGCCTTAGTATGAATTGCTGAGTTATTACGGTGGTCATCTAACATGGCTGAAGCTCTTAACACATCAGCTTATCTTCTTCCCAGAGACCACCTCCCTGCTTCTCCAAACAAGCCCAGGATGCAGCTTTCTTTCATCTTTCCTACCATCACAAGAAAGACCCCAACCAGCTCCTCAGAGATTTCTAAATATCCCCTCAAGCTCCACCCCTAGCAAAAATCCAGAAAAGTGCCAGCTTGCTTTTTCTCAGGCTGGAGGATCTACCTGATCCCTCTGCCCTCAATCCTCTCTATATCTTTGGAGTTAATAAAGACTTCTTTATCTTTTCTATCTCTTTACTGCACTGCCAAAAAAAAAACTATCAAAAACTAGATAAAAATTAAAGATACAATCTTTTGTTTGGAAGCATCAGCCTAAAATTGAAGAAATCTTTAAAAATTATAATATAATAATTAAGGATAAAATTTGAAAGACCCAGTCCTAGCCCAGGTCCGGTGAGTGTGTGAGAGAGCTTCCTGCTACCCTGTGCCAGAGGGACCAGTCTCAGCCCAGCTGCAGCATGGGCTGGACCCTCTCCCACCCCCTTGGGCCACCCCCGACAACTCCACAGTACCTCCGCCACCCCGCCTGCTGAGGAGGAATTTATGGCGCGTCCTGGAACCCCCAGATGCAGTCCTAGCCCAGGTCCAGTGAGTGTGTGGGAGAGCTTCCTCTTCCCCCTACTTCACCCTGCCCCCTCCAAGCACAGCTCAGGACTGGCATACACGCCTGGGGTGTAATCGGGCAACTGCAATCCCTGCAGAGAGTGTAGAGGATAGATCCAACCAGCTAGTCCAGGAGCAGAACATCGCACCACAGCAGCACAACAGGTTCACCATCAAGGGCAGCAGCAGGAAGGAGCTGAGCACAGCAGCCAGACCCAAGCCACATGCAGCTAGATAAGTCCAAACTTTGTAGAGCTCCACCAGAATTTCAGTACATGTGAAGGTAATAACTACAGAAAAGATCTACAACAAAGGGCAGAAGACAGTGCTACACAAAATGAAGAGAAGGAACAAAATGCAACCTCAGAACCCAAGCCCACCAG